GTGCGAGAGTACAGAAGTGATGTATTCTTTCATATTATATTTTGTGGAAATAGAGGAAATTATTTTATTGCTACAATATAACCTGCATTATTACAATTGCATTAATAACATTCTTTATAGCATTATTCTATTAATAATATTTCTTACAGTATTGATATTGCATTAAGAGTTGTTTATTGAAGATGTTCATTTAAGGATCCTTCCACTATGTTAACTTTTATTACAGGTACGGCCAGAAGTATTTCATACACATTGCATAGTATTTGTGCTCATTAAGAGTTGTTGCTTAGTCTACAGAGGGTCTTAAGCTTTGTGAAGCGCGACGTCTTCACAATCTATTGTGTTAGAGACTAGAGCATAGAAGGATAACAGCATACATGCTTACAATACACATATAATCTAGAAATGTGCCAGGCCTGAGGCCTTAACTCATTTAGCTTCTAACTGCATTTTAGTCTACTTGGTAACAGATGACCGGAGTCAACAACCAGCCCTCAGAGACCCATAGGGCTTGAAGTTTATTGCCTTGTATGGAAGGTGTGATAGAAAGAGGAACTTCTCTGTCTAATTTTAGGGGCTTAAGATTGACCATTTACTGTAACTGATGCATATTATGTTCATTTGTGACGCATGAGGGGGCGTAACCCTGATGAATGAAACCATTCTGAATTGAGCTCTTCGGAGAAGATCAATGCTGGTGTTGCAGTATACATCTTCCCATATGTGTGCTCAATAAATCATTGTTTGACTTAACTCTTCTGGACCAGTGTTGTTTTGTGCCCTCCTTCAATATTTGAACTCGCGACAATTTATATACAGTTTGTCAGTTTGGACGCTCTCATTTCATGGTTTTTCTTTATTTTTACTACTTTTTACATTGTAGATACAAACTGAAGACATTAAATGTATGAAGCAAGATATATGGAAATATGTAGCAAAGAACAAAATGTTTTAGATTTTAGGTTCCTCAAAGTAGCCGCCCTTTGCTTTGTTGACAGCACTGCAAACCCTTGGCCTTCTCTTAATGAGCTTCATGATGTGGTCACCTGAAATGGTTTTCACATCACAGGTGTACCTTTTCAGGGTTCATTTGTGGAGTTGGGTTGTGCAGAAGTCAGGTTGGTACACAGCTGACAGCCCTATTTGGCAACTGTTGGAATTCATATTATGGCAAGAACCAATCAGCTAAGTAAAGAGAAATGACAGTCCATCATTACTTTAAGAACTGATGATCAGTCAGTCCAGAAAATTGCAAAAACTTTGAATGCGTCCCCAAGTGCAGTCACAAAAACCATCAAACTGGCTCACATGAGGACCACCCCAGGAAAGGAAGACCAAGAGTCACCTCTGCTGCTGCCAGGACAGTCTGATGAATTTGATGAATTTATCCTGTGCTGGATAAATTCATCCAAGTCACCAGCCTCAGAAATCGCAAGTTAACAACAACTGTGGCTACCACAGCATCTTGCAGCAACATGCCATCCCATTCAGTTTGTGTTTAGTTGGAGCATCATTTATTTTTCAACAGGACAATGACCCCAAACACACCTCCAGGCGGTGTAAGGGCTATTTAACCAAGAAGGAGAGTGATGGAGTGCTGAGCCAGATGACCTGGCCTCCACAGTCATCTGACCTAAAACCAATCAAGATGGTTTGGGATGAGATGGACCTCAGAGTGAAGCAAAAGGCCAACAAGTGCTCAGCATCTCTGGGAACTCCTCCAAGAGTGTTGGGAAACCATTTCAGGTGACGACCTCATGAAGTGGTTCATAAAATGTGTACTTTCAACATAGCTCCATCCAGCTTCAACCTCAGCAGATGGCCAATCAGCTGGAATAAACTGCAACATCTGTCTGCGTGTCCTCTTTTGCTGAAAAGATAGCTGACAGCTGAGGCTGGTTCAATCGAGTTTATTTCCTGTTAAAGGGACGTTTTTCCTCCCCACTGTCTCCAAGTGCAAGTTCTGTATTATTTTAGGGTGTTTGCCATACAATATAGTGCATGGTTGTTGTGATTTGGTGATATACACTGAACAAAAATATAAACGCAACACTATTGTTTTTGCTCCCATTCTCCATGGGATGGATGTAGAGACCTAAAATTCATTCCAGATACACAATATAACCATCCCTCCCAAACAGTGGTCACAAATCAGTCCAAATGTGTGGTAGTGGGCACATCTGCTATATTGAGATAATCCATCCCACCTCACAGGTGTGCCACATCAGGATGCTGATCTGACATCATGAGTAGTGCACAGGTGTACCTCAGACTGCCCACAACAAAAGGCCACCCTGGAATGTGCAGTTTTTTGCGCTATTGGGGGTCTGGGGACCCAGAACCCGTCAGTATCTGGTGTGACCACCATTTGCCTCATGCAGTGCAACACATCGTCGCATGGAGTCTATCAGATTGTCAATTGTGGCCTGTGGAATGTTGGTCCACTCCACTTCAATGGCTGTGCGAGGTTGTTGGATATTCGTGGGAACTGGTAAACGCTGTCGTATACGCTGGTCAAGCACATCCCGAACATGCTCAATGGGTGACATGTCCGGTGAGTATGCTGGCCATGCAAGAACTGGGACATTCTCAGCTGCCATCTGCCCTGAACAATGTGAACCATGATTCATCCGTGAAGCGCACACCTCTCCAACGTGCCAGACGCCATCGAATGTGAGCATTTGCCCACACAAGTCTGTTACGGCGACGAGCTGGAGTCAGGTCAAGACCCCGATGAGGACGACGGGCATGCAGTTGAGCGTCCCTGAGACGGTTTCTGACAGTTTGTGCAGAAATTGTTTGGTTGTGCAAACCAATTGTTCCAGCAGCTGTCTGGGTGGCTGGTCTCAGACGATCTTGGAGGTGAACCTGCTGGATGTGGAGGTCCTGGGCTGGTGTGGTTACACGAGGTCTGCGGTTGTGAGGCCGGTTGGATGTGCTGCCATATTCTCGGAAACGCCTGTGGAGACGGCTTATGGTTGAGAAATGAACATTCAATGCACAGGCGACAGATCTGGTTGACATTCCTGCTGTCAGCATGCCAATTGCACGCTCCCTCATTGCTTGTGGCATCTGTGGCATTTTGCTGTGAGACAAAACTGCACATTCCAGGGTGGCCTTTTGTTGTGGGCAGTCTGAGGTACACCTGTGCACTACTCATGATGTCAGATCAGCATCCTGATGTGGCACACCTGTGAGGTGGGATGGATTATCTCAATATAGCAGATGTGCCCACTACCACACATTTGGACTGATTTGTGACCACTGTTTGGGAGGGATGGTTATATTGTGTATCTGGAATGAATTTTAGGTCTCTACGTCCATCCCATGGGGAATGGGAGCAAAAACAAAAGTGTTGCGTTTATATTTTTGTTCAGTGTATAAATAAAACTGAATTGAACTGAATTTAATTTGAATTTGTATCCTGATCATCCCAGACACTACTCCTCATTTCAGTCATGTATCCTTATTTTCTTCATTCAACTTTCATTGTATAGACTGTAAAGCTGTAAAGATGACAGATCTTCACTTCATGATCCTGTTTTGCCTCTTCCATCCAAGAGCCAGTTTGTTCTTTCTTTCTGTCACATGATCTACCAGCTTTGGGAGATTGAGTCAAGTGGATGCACAGAAACAATGTTGTCTTTTTGGACATGAAACATGTATCAATGCAGTATGATTTATCACTGCATTTAGCAATACCACAAAATCAGACTACAAAGTGTGGTGCTGACAGTTGGTGGTGCAGTCTTATCATCCTCAACAATTGGCCGGCCCTTTTCAACAGCAAAATAACTCAGACCCCTCTCAGTCTGTGCAAGGTTTCAAATCAGTGGGGTTTCTATTCAGAATTTCAAATTCAGTGGGGTTTCCTTCTTAAGAAATAACACAAACACTTATGCACAGAAAACATTAATCACACAAGACTTATTCTTTTGAGGTTTTGCCAAATTATAGAACTAGAGTTAATGTTTTATTTGTAAAGGAATAAATATCAGCATGGATAGCCTAAGCTGATTTGCAAAGCAGTGTAACACGAGAAGCATCCATGACTGACCCTTCTTTAAAAACTGTTTGAAATGATGCCATTCAGGATGTAAGTTCAGAGTTCCACGTGTTGTTTGGAGAGCAGGAGAGCATTTATCCTTACAGTTAGTGAGCCTAAAACCCCGAACAGAACCTCAAGATCTCCGAGCACCGGACTTAGTAAAAATCTCTAAAAATTGGGCAAATTTAATACGATTTAATACATGCAGTTTAATATGATCAAAACTCCTTTTATGTAATTTTGCCATCTCATCGACATCTCATGCAAAATTTTGGTTGCTCCACTGTGTTATAAGAAGAAGCTGAACTTTTAAAGATGCTGCTTGTGACCAATCAGTTGCAACATGAAACAGCAGATGGTATCTAATACATTTAAACACATGGAAGCTGATTTTTTTTTAATGTAACATGATTACATGGGATTACCTCTGGAACCTGTTTGGGTTCAGGATGGCCATGCGTGTAGACACAACAGCTGATCTTTCACCACCTCAGAACTTAACTACCACCAACTAAAAATCCTATTTCAAGAAACCAGACTGATCCCTAATTAAAAGTGGAGCTCTTAAGATTTGAACACTGCATGTAGTCACACAATGAATTTTTCTATAAACAGCATATCCTCTACATCCTCCTCTTACAAGTAGTATGTACTATCGAGTATCTAGCAGATTTAAAAATGATTGAAAATCCTTATGCTTGTTATAGAAAACTTTACTTTGAACCTGATTGTTGAAAAATATTGTGATTCACAACCAAAGTCCGTTTTGTGTTAAAGATTCCAGCTGTACTGACAGTGTTTCTGACCTGACAGGGCACTGTCAGTAATTTCTTTAATGCAGGCTGACACACACACACGCACGCACGCACGCACACACACACACGCACACACACACACACACACACACACACACACACACACACACAGACCACTGTCCATTGTATGTGTTTACCTTTGAAGGCATTCGTGGCCGGTACATCAGTTTCCTGCATACTGCTCCTTCCCACGCTCTGCCAGCTGCTGCAGATGCTGCGATGGATGCCAACAGACCAACCTTAACCGGTCCGAGCCACGGCCGCTGGGGGGAGGGAGGGTGGCCGAGAGGAAGGGGTGGCGCCTGTCAGTCTCACTGCCATCTTTCTTCATCAACAGCCCATGTGCTTGGTTAAAAGGCCGCCGTCTCTAAAGCCCCGCGGCGGGTGAGTGTCTCTTCCCTGCTCCAGCGACAGCTCGTGAGGTCACTCTTTGTTCTCACAGGACGCTGCAGCCTGGTAAACTAGCCCGTATGAGGGTTCAGCTCTCTTGTCACAGTGGACTTTGTGGACTACAGTGATGGCTGAGGGGGAGAGATCGACGGGTTGTTTAGAGATGGGGTTAGATCAGGATGGAGGCTGCGTTGTAGATGCTATTAATCTGATCTCTATCCTCCCAGCAGCAGGCCCGCAGTCATGACCAATACCCTGAATTCTTGGCTGTCTGTCAATCTTTCAACCTACGGATGAGCAACTCTGCCTCTTTACCTTCTGTGAGCTGAGAGGGTGAATCAATATGTCTCTCCTCTAGAGTCGGGCTTGCCTTTTAAACTCAACTTTAACTAACATGCCGTCTCCTCTGATTCTCCTTGCTCCTTTGCCGGCTTACTCCCCCTTTGTATTTTTCTTCCTCTTATGTGTTTTGTCCTGTTGCTGCAGTCCCAAGCTCAGCAGGGGCTACTCGGGCGCTCTCACACTGGCACCACGGCTAAAAGAGACGAGAGAGAAAGAGGGAGACAGAGAGTGAGCAGCTAAGTGACTAAATTCATGAGATACCAGAAACAACGAGCGAAACGGATACACCCAAGCAAAACATGGGCAGGGCTAACTGCTGCAATGACCAGCTGAGAAAAGCGAACACAGACTTCTCATCCACATTCACACACACACACATCGCAGTGGATGAGGTGCGATGTGTGTCTCAGTTTGGATAGCGGGTGGGTGGCTGGCTGGCATGGCCCCCTTTAGTTCCTCTCACCCACTAGGTTCTGACATGAAAGGGAAAAGTTTTTGTGAAAGCCAAGCGCCGCCTGTGACCCTATTTCACAGAGCAAGGGAGAGATAGAGCCACATGTCAGTGTGCCACTTTGAAGTCTGCCTGATAAACAGGGCTGGAGGAGGCTACGGCTGAGGGAACAACAAAACTTTATTTACATTTCAAAAGTGCCAAGTGCTGCTTTTTTGTGTCTGGGAACGGAATAAAAACCCAGAAAAGAGGAGAGGGAGAGAGGAGGAGGAGGAGGAAGGTGGGGTAGGGACGACTGGAGAAAAGGGAAAAACAGTGTAAAACCGATCGAGCCATTTTCTCCTCGTTCAGACAGTAAAATGAGGGTGCGGGAGTGATGCAGCGCACACGGGGAAGGGGTACGATGGGCGAAGGAAAAGGGGAAATCGCAGAGGAGGAAAAGCTATGCTCAAAACATAAAGGAGGGAGGCAACCCACAGGAAGTTGAGCTAGGAAAAAGCGGTGAAAATGACAAAGGAAAGATGAGACGGGAGGGGGAGATACAAAGGAGGAAGAAATCAAACATAAGATGAAGAGACGCAGGTTTAAAGAAGTTCAAGAGAAGAAATGACATGGGACCAGAGAAGGAGGGAAGGAATTTGATGGTGAAAAAAAAGCAGACAGACGGTAAACAAACACACGCCCTGTCTGAGGTTTTGGAAAGATATGACAGATCTCAGTCTTATCTCAGCTCCATTCGCCTGTTCTTACCAAGCCTTATCACGGTCAGGGTACACAAACAGCTTGTAGGCTGGCGAATGGAAAAGTGGAGGCGAGAACGGGGCCACTGTGACGTAAGGGGGGGTGGGGGGGTTTAAATACTTCATTATGTGCCTTGTAGGTGACTCATCACTTTGCCTCCTGGTGACTAAACAACACCAGTGTCCCGAGTCTCTCCAGGCTCCCGCAGAAAAACATGTGATTCTAGGAGACGATTTCTTGCCTGAGTAACAGTTTGAAAAAATTCCAGAGGGTCGAAGTTAGCCATCCTTATTTTCAGAGTGGTCAGCCAATCAAAGAGCTCCTCTGATTGAGAGGACCGAAAATGAAATGACCCATGGGTCGCCACAGCTGGTAGCTCTGATGGGATCCCAGTGGGATTTGTGTCCTGGGATCAAACATTTTCTAACTTTTTAGGTGAGAGTGTAAACCGCTACACCAAGACTAAAGTTAAAAGGAACAAAAAGAACTAAATTTAGGCTTAAAGGACGTATTTTCAACATTCAGAAGACCCTTTTGACTGTCGGACCCGTCCTGGCCCTAAGACCTCGATGTTTAAAAAATGACCTAAGTGATAAATATCATCTGACATACTCGTGTAACAGTAACCCAGCTACCCTATGAGTTCAGCAAAACTGATTTATTTATTATATTCAACAAGAAAAAAAGTCTGAATTTATTTGCTTTTTCTAAAGGCAGACTGTTTCCAAAGTTATTCTTCTGTGAGCTGAACCAATGAAAGGAAACAGAAATTAGAAAGTGGGTTTTTCCACAATGTGCACCTCTTCCAGTAGTAATAGGGGCATTATTGTATAGCGTTGTGGATAGACTGCACCATCATATTCTGATGGAGGAATTACAATAGCATGCGGCCTATTCAAAAGTCCAGGAGCAGAATCTATAGAGTATTTTATGGCATATAAAGTAATTGTATTGTATAAACCCTTAATGGGTTTTCAGCAGGACTGAAGAAAGTTCTTTTTATTAAAGTTTTCCTCTTTTTTCCAGACAGCTCCTGAAAACATGTGAAAGTCAGTGCAGCCTGACCCCACTGACTGTCGGTCTGTCTGTTTGTTTGTTTGCTGGGTCATCTGAGGACAACAGGCTGTCCTGGCAGGCAGTGGAAAATATGGCTCCAGGTGGATGTTTGTTCTCTGGTCATTTAAGGACAACTCCTGGTCTCCTGTCTTATCTTTGGATTTATCCAGCTGTAGGACTTCCAAGTCAGAGCAGAGAACAGAGGTCTGGCAAACACCACGGGACACAGGAAACCAAGTGTTTGTTACTGAAAAATACCCAAAGAAACACACACACACACAAATAGCGCCTTATTTGTAGCTGTTGTCTCCGGTACAGGCTTCTATCAGGTTTCGGCTTTAATGTACCAGCGCCGATCTTTGTCTTATACTATCACGAAACTCTGGACCAGAGACTGGAAGCTGTAGTTCTTTAGTGCATTACCCCAGTCTCTGTGGTATGCACACTTAGTTTTTCTCATTCTTGCAGATTGAGTTTTAGTGTTTTTTGTTGTTTTCTCTTCTTCGTGGCGGTGCGTGGAGTCATTAAACTTTTTTCGTTACCTTCATGCCCGTTCTCCTGTAACTGGGTCCACCTTATGAACTTCGCTGCCAAACACTTTGCTAATAAACACGTTTTTTCACACGCGAGGTTTCGACTACTTCTCGCAAGTAGCGAACCTCTGTTTGGCGTAGGTGGGGGTGCTGCCTCGATAGAGTACGCAAGAGGCGGTGCAGATAACGCCCCCTTGCTCGCTGTGAATTTGCTGCACAATTAATTGCGCTGGTCTCGCACTGCGGCGATCTAGTACCATCCGCTCTGCGTCGGGGAGCTGGCAGATTAAAAAGCCTTCACCGTCCAGTAACGCTGCACTGGGTCTAGAAAAGTTCAGAGCTGATGGCTGAAAGGAAACGTCTGTTCAATTATTGCCCTAGTTCACTCCTTATGCTTTATGCCTGTGCCTTAGTTCAAAAAAGGGAGTTCAAACCAAATGTACAAATGTACACGCAGAAAGCCAAAATCATTAGCAATACAAAGTAGGGTATTACTGTTTAGTCAGTGATGTTAGCCACCAGGGATGTATGCTTTCAGCTCAGTCCAATACTACTGTACATTCATTATAACAGACTTTTCTGTAGCCAGGAAAGGTGTGTTGGGTTTGAACTTGAACGATCAAACTAATGAATAATTCAGCTGCGGATTCATTTTCACTTTATAGCGACTGACAGTATCAGTGTTCACTGACAATGTAGTCAATCTGTTCTTTGTTTTTTCAGTGAAATGTCAGATTGTGCCAAATCCCTGATAATAACAACAGCTACTGCATCATTTACATCGGGCATTAGAGCATAAGTCACAGTTGATCCCTGACATTAACCGTGTTTTTCTCACGTGCCTCTGAAAGAACATATATGCCTATTTTAATCAATCCAGCTTGTCCCTGGAACATTTGAGCAAACTGACAAACAGCCTGAATCACCTTTGAACCTGAGGATGATGTAAAAAGAAACTGCAACCTCAGATGGCTGCAGGCAGATGGCGAAGGCCCTGGACTCTTAGATTTTACGCATCTTCTGGATACATTATTTCGTGCAATCTGGATGTTGAGTTCGGTGTGTCGGCTATATTTGTTTCTATCTGTTACACTCTGTGCTGCTCTCTTGGCCAGGTCTCTCTGGAAACATGTAATCTCAGTTGAACTGTTATATGGCTGTCAGCAGTCACTCTGCATGTGTCACCTAAACGCTGACATTAATTTAACTTGGAGCCCATCTTCTTTTGATCACTCACAGATTTTAGTCTGCAAGTAGTCTACGGTCTCCAGCCTCTTCACGAGTGGACCTCCAGTAAGGAAAGCTATGCTCTTCTTTTTGAATTACTATGCTGAATCCATCTCGCCATTTTAAAGAAAACTGCCTACATAAGGGTGAAATTTTCAAAAATCTACCCCTGTACTTAGCAGCGCCATAATGTAGTGGTTTACATATTTGCCTAACAAGCACAAAAAGATCCCTGGTTCAGTAGCTTTTTAGTCAGCAGTGCATTCGTGCTGCCATCTGTCAGTCATAAAATAAACTCCAATAAGACAGCCTGCATTGTAGCCTTGAGAGACTGTACTTGAGCAAAGAGTCCTATGCAGACCTTTATAATGACAATTATAAGCTTTGTTCCAGGGTTCTTAAACTGTTAAGACTGCGTGTGGCCTCTAGCCTCCGTGAAGTGGGTAAAGTGAGGAGTGTTTCCGTCAGAGCATTATTAGTACGGGAGCGTGTTTCTGTGTCTACTATCTGTCTGTCATTGTAACATATGGGGACAACTAGCAGTTCTAACAGCCAGCTCTGACTCCTCCGCTGGGTCACACAGGGACATGTGCTTATCAGTGAGACAGCAGTCAGACAGACAAACATGGACTGGGGAACAGACTATTTAACCACGGGGCTGGTCGCATCTGTTACGCTGAAAATTCAAGCATGCTAAGAATGTGATTGCATAACAAATAAAGAACTGGGGCTACCGAGGTGATTCAGAGTTCTGCCGCAACAGACGTGGCGAAAAAACGAGTCATTAAAAAAAGAAAGAAAGAAAAAGAAAAGCTTTCACGGACTGTTTATGTGTATCTGACAGCGGCAGCCGAAGGAAATACAAAATGTTCTGCTGCTGGACAATAAAACAATGTGGATCTCCTGGAGATTATGACGGGTTAGCTCATATATTCACTGTTCTTTCTTTGGATTAAACAATGAGTAGTGGACACAGTGTGCACACTCAAACATTCAAACTAAGTGTGGAAAAAAGACAAAGTAACTGATGAACTCGACACTCCTAGTATGTGAAAACTGGAGGCCATTTTCCCTGAATGTTTTAACAATAATTGAACATTTTTTCCACCTCCAGCTGCAGATAAGCGCCTGAGATTCTGTTTGATCCTAAAGTTCATTTGGGTTGTTTCAAATTATTTGCCTTTC